ATTTCTATATAGTGACAATAAACTATTAGGAAAAGAAATAAAGGAAGCAATCCCATCTATAATCACAGCAAAAAGAACACAATACCTATGAACAAACTTAACAAGAAAGGTGAGAGACCTGTGCACTAAAACTGTAAGACATTGTTGAAAGAAACTGAAGACACAAACAAATGGAAAGATATTCTGTATTCACATATTAGAAGATTTCCATATTTAAAATGTTCACATTACCTAAAGCAATCTAGAGATTCAATGCATTTCCTATCAAAATCCCAATGGCATTTTTCACAGAACTAGAAAAAATAAGCCTAAAATTTATATAGAACCACAAAAGACCCCGAATAGCCAAAGCAATCTTGAGGGGAAAAAACCAAAGCCAGAGATATCACACTCTGTACAAAACTATAGTAATCAAAACAGCATGGTGTTGGGGAAAAACAGACACAACCACCAGTGGAACAGAATAGAGAGCCCCAAAATAAACTCACACATACATGGGCAACTAATTTGCAACAAAAAAAGCCAAGAATGTACAATGGAGAAAGAAAGTGTCTTCAATAAATGGTGCTGGGAAGCTGGAAAGCCACATGCAAGAGAAAGAAACCACACCCTTACCTTACACCACACACAGAAAGTAACTTAAAATTGAAGAGCCTGAATGTAAGACCTAAAATGATGAAATACATAAAACATAGGCACTAAGCTTCTGAACCTTGGTCTCAGTGATGTTTTTGTGAACTTGACCTCAAAGACAAGGGAAAAGAGCAAAAAAAAAAAAAAAAGCAGAACTACAAGAAATTAAAAAAGCTTCTATGCAGTAAAATAAAAACATTCCACTGTGACATGGTCTCAACTCCATGTGGACAGAACTGCTTGCCACTGTGTGGGTGACCACCGTCCTCGGCACTGATCTGACAAAATGTGCCAACAAACCCCACAAAACAAAGAGATAGACCTACAAGCAGAGCTTAGCGCACCTGGCTGCCAGACGTCAGGACAATCACCTTGGCCACAAAGAGCAGCAGGGGTGACGATCTGCTGCCTCCCAGGGGTCAGCCATGGTAGGACAGCACATGCAAAATGACAAATCACTACAGAGCCTCACAGCCCACGTCCTCCCAAGGATACTGAGGCCAGTCACTGCAACCACAGTGTCATGGCAACCACAGCATAATGGCAACCACGCATGACAAGAGAGGCAGGCTGCTGGAGCCCAAACAGCAAGATCAGAGAAATAGAGGTGCCTTAGGCCTCAAACCACGAGAAACATTCTCTCCCTCATCCAGCGCTTGCCAGGTTCCACCTGGGCACCCTGTCCCTCTACATGGGAAAACCCCAGAGAAACAAAACCACCTCTTCCCATCCAACTGAAAAGCCTGGACACCCAGCCACTCTGTGAGGACTGCCCCTGTAAGAACTGCCATGGTCCCCACACTGTCTCCTGGGCAGCCCACTTTCCCACCAACCCCACCAGGGTTTCAGGTTCCTAAATAAGGACTGTTCTCGTGAGCACTGCAGGGAGCCCCTGGTATCAGAGCTCATCTGAGAAAACCCATGTGACGACTGGACAGAGAGCTAGCCCCACACTGGGCATCTGTACAAAATGTGGCACTAACTATACAGAACAGCATAATCACATTACAAGTTTAGAATAGCACAATCAACACATTAGTCAAAATAACCACAAAACAGTGGCTATTAGACCATGGTTTTTAAAAGTATCCAGCTCTTTATCTCTAGCCAAAAAAGGCCTGTACGTCCTCAATAACATGTACCGCACACCCCGGAAACCTTCTGGGTTATGGTGATGTTCTGTATCTTGACAGAGATTTAGCTGACAGAGTTCTGCCTCTTTATTAAAACTCAGCAACTTGCCCTAGCCAGGTGGCTCCGCTGGTTGGAGCACCATCCCTGTACACCAAAAGGTTGTGAGTTTCATTCCCTAGTCGGGGTGTGTGGGCAGGAAGCAACCAATCAGTGTTTCTCTCTTTCTCTTTCTCCCTTTCTCTCTCTAAAATCAATAAGCACATCCTTAGAAAAGAACTAAAAAAAAAAAAAAACCCCTCAGAACCTTTATGCTACTAGAGGTTTAACTCCATCCAACCAAGAGATGAAGGAGAAAACTTTGGAGAAAGGATGGGAGCGAACACTTAACACAGTCCATTACAGATCGGGGGCACACTAACAAAGGTGGGGACACGAGTGATGACATGCTGTGTGCTTCGTCATTTGACCAAAAATGGGAGGATAACGGGGAAAGGTGGAAACCGGAACACGTCACTGGTTGTCTCAGTAGCTGGGAGTCAGAGATAATGCTTAGAGTTGACAAGTCAACTAATAAAAGTATGTTCGACAGAACGAGGTAAACACTTAGAAATACTACTAAGACTAGGACATGCAGCAGAAAAAGGATAGAAGTTTGTGTAATAGGTGAACCTGGTAGATAACCAATAGTTACTGTGTGAAAGAGGGTACCAAGGGTATGATATAAAGGAGGAACAGGGCTGTTGTACACCTTTTCCATAGAGATAATTACTAAATGCAAACTCCCCTGATTACCAGAAGAACCGTGCATTTTTGAAAGGAGTACAAATGAATCAGTAAAATCAGAGCTGTTAAAGCATGCGCAGAAGTCTGCAGGAGTATCTGCTGCTGTCCAAGATGGCCCCCGGGAGCCCATGGAAGTGAGCCCCATCACCTAACCCGCCCCAACCCACTCTCACCTGTGCTGCAGCTGCTCAAGGGCTCCAGTTCCTCAGGTCCCATAAGATCCAGGACCCACAGCTCTTCACCTTGCTCCAGCTGGGAGATCAGCTCTGGCTTAGGGACAGGGAGTCCTGTTGAGGCGAGGGCCCTGGGTGAGCTAACGTGGAGGGGAGAGCTGGAGCAGAGCACTGCCCACTGGGTGTTCCAGGCCAGGTGCGAAGTGCAGGTTCCCAAGAGACACCCCCCCACCACACCCCTTCTCTGGGAGGTACGAGTGGAATGGGGGTCACAGAGTGTCTGTATCTTGGGGAGTGGAAGGGGTTGGTCAGGGGGAGCGGCAGAGAGTGAGCGCTGAAGAATAACTCATCAGTTCTCCTGCCCCAGGGGAAACACAGGTGGGCGCGGGCATTCAAAGTGCATTCCGAAGTGGGAGCCAGGCACAGACCAGATTGGTACCTGGGGACAAGTGGTAGGACCCTCCTCTCTAGGCTCCAAAGTTTGGAGGCAGCCCCTGAGCTCCCTAAACGCCCCCACCGAGAGTCCAGGGAGAGCCGCACCCAGCGAGGCCACGTGCCCGTAGTTCTCCAGCATCACATCCCTGTACAGCGCCCGCTGGTCTGGGCCCAGCTGCTGACCCTCCTCCTGAGAGAAGTACACCGCCACATCCTGGAAAGTCAGTGGCACTGCCTCCTGAAACGACAGGTGGCCGCTGCCCCGAGGCTGCGCCCACTGGGCAGACGTGCTTCGCTCAGCCCGTGGATGAGCCTGTCTCTTGGGCCAGTGGGCCCAGATTGAGACCCCAGAGTCCGTCTCCCTGGGGAGAGCCCGAGTCCAATCCCAGAGCCCTGTCCTTGGGTGCCAGGACACCTCACTTCTGCAGAAACTGGGCTCACCACCTTGGAGGATGGAAGGCAGGGAGGAAGGTAAACTCACCTGGGGCACTGGAAGCCCAAGTGCAGCTGCCATCCTGGGGGAGCAGGATCTGAAGAAAGACTCAGGACCTGAGCGGGGCTGACCTGGCCTGGGCCTCCCCCAGCTCACCCTTAGAAGGAGGGGACCCACACTCAGACCCACTCGGTGTCATTAACAGCCAGGACCCAAGGGGTGTGAGGGGTAGGCAGGTGGCATTCATTGGTTCCTGCAGCGGCCCCTGGGGCAACGAGCACAACCCCTTGTAGTGGTCAAAGGCAGGTCACTCTGCAGCAGGACTCAGCGTGTGCCCGACTGCCCAGTGACACGGAAAGTCCCCAGAACTGGCAGAGCCAGAGCCAGGTGGGGCGGGAGCTGCGGGGTGAAAGCTGGCAGCCCCAGGGCCCAGTGCCCGGACCCAGCTGCTGGAGAGCCGCACCTCGCACAGGCTGAGCAGCAGCCCCCAACCGCAGGGCAGGCGAGCAGACTGCGCAGAGGCAGGTGGGGCTGAGCTAACCTGGGCGAAGCCCCGGGCCTGCCGCCCTTCCCACCCCTTCGCCCCCAGACCCCTGGGTCGCCTCCAGTACCCTCACCGGCCCTCAGGCCTAACTGCAGTCCTCATTTTCCCAACAGCCCCCCCCACTCCCCGCGGCCTCCTCGCGGCCCGCGAGCTGTGGCCACCCAAGGTTGCAGACAACGCCTGTTACGTCTCCCTCGCGCCCAAACCGCTCGGGGCCGACCTTCCTCCCAGCAGTCTCCCCTTTCACCTCCGCGCGGACCCCCTACCCCGTCGCGACCTCGGCCGAAACCTCCCGACGCTCCGCCGGGCCCGCCCACGCCTCCTACCGAAACCACCCCCTCGGCCGGACCTTCCACGGTTGGCAACCTGCCCCCGTGGCTCCCGCCTGCCGCAGGCCGACTGTCCGGGACCCGGAGCCAGCGCGGAGGGGGCGCTGCACACCTGGGAGTAGCGGGCCGCCGGGCGGGGGCGGGGCCACACGGAAGAGGCGGGACTGCGCTGCGTGGAGCAGGGCCTCCTGCCGCGACTCGCCCTCTAAAGACCGAGGGGGCCGGAAACGGCTGCGCCGTTCCGCCAGGCACTTCCGGGGCCGCTCTAGGACCACAGAGGACTCCTGCCGGCCGCGGTCGCCGGGAGAGAGGCGCGGCGCGGCGCGGGAGGGGACTGGTGGTCGGCCGCCGGGCGGCAGCTGGACCTCGGCCTCTCGCCGACGCTCCGTTCCAGGCCCCGCGTTGCTGTTCGAGCGTAGTTGGGCCCACCTCACGCGCCTCTCTGTTCCCGGGCCGAGGCAGCACAACCCTGTCTTTATTTCCTTTTCTCTCTGTGACAAAGAAAATACCCTGTGGGGGAATGCGTTGGGGCCCGCGGATCACAGACGGCCGTCTACTCCCGGTGTCCTAGAGCTTCCCGGAAGTCTTTGTAGTCGCCTCCCGGCCTGGCCCCGCTTCCGGCCGGCCCCTTGCTCTCCGCCGTCAGGCCGCTGTGCTCCAGAGCGCGCGTTGCAGGTGGGGGGCGCCTCGGGCCTGGGGACGCAGTGGGTGAGGTTGGGAGTGGGGGTAGCTGACCTGGACGCGGACCCTTGGTCACCGCGCCTGGGGGCTCTGGAGGCTGGAAACCTGTCCGCGACAGTAACGCGCCGGCCCGCGCAGCTTGGGCTGGGACCGCAGGGCGCTGTCCGCGACTTGCGCGCACTTCGGGTGTCCAGGGCGCCGCAGCGAAGCCATGGCAGGAGAGGAACGGGTCCGCCTCTGTCAGCTCCTTTCTCCGGACCCGGTGGCCACTCTTCTCCCTGGTTCTGCGCTCCCTGCCCTGTCTCCCCTGCCAACTCCTGCCTCCCCTCTTCCCGGGACCCCCTGCTCCCAAGGTGCCTCCCATCACATGGGCTGTCATCAGTGGTTCACACTGTCAGTGTCTTCAAGGTGAAAACTCAGTCACTGGGCTTCTCTCCACCCCTCCAGGCAATTGCATCTGGGACCTGCCTCTGGGCTGGCTGATCAAAAAGGAGGCAGTAGCAATGTCTGCTGTGGGGGCTGCAGCTCCATACCTGCATCACCCTGGTGACAGTCAGAGTGGCCAGGTGAGTTTCCTGGGGGCCCAGCCCCCCCCAGAGGTGGCAGCAATGCCCCGGCTCTTGGGAGACCTGGACAGGGGCACATTCAGGAAGTTGCTGAAGCTGGTGGTCAGCAGCCTGCAGGGAGAAGACTGCCGTGAGGCTGTGCAGCGCCTCGGGACTGGTGCACACCTGTCAGAGGAACGGCTGGGGGCCCTGCTTGCCGGCACCCACACGCTGCTCCAGCAGGCCCTCCGGCTGCCCCTGGCCAGCCTGAAGCCCGACACCTTCAAGGGCCAGCTCCAGGAGCTCTCCATCCCCCAAGACCTGGTAATGGACTTGGCCAGTGTGGTATTTGGGAGCCAGCGGCCTCTCCTTGACTCTGTTGCCAGGCAGCAGGGGGCCTGGCTGCCCCATGTTGCCTACTTCCGTTGGAGGGTGGATGTGGCAATCTCTACCAGTGCCCTGGCCCGCTCCTTGCAGCCAAGCGTCCTGATGCAGCTGATGCTTTCAGATGGGTCGACATACCGCTTTGAGGTCCCCACAGCCAAGTTCCAGGAGCTTCGGTATAGCGTGGCCCTGATGCTGAAGGAGATGGCCGACCTGGAAAAGAAGTGCGAGCACAAACTACAGGACTGACCCGGGTGCCCAGTTGCTTTGGTCACCTGGGGACAGCTGCTCAGACATCTCCAAAGTGAAGCCCGCCCTGCCCAGGAGGCCCTCTGCAGTGAGAGTGTGGGACTGCAACCATGTCATTCTCAGTTTGATGGAAAAAAATAGCAGTTTCTCTCCCCCACTTGGAAGTAGAGCAACTATAAAGTCGTATCTTCCCAACTGCTGTCACCTGCACACCTGCCCCCTGGCCACTGGCATTGTTGCTAGGTGAGGGTACCCACTGCTCCAGGCCAATGCCTCGGCGCAGATGCCGAGCTCCTTTAGCTGGTCTCCGTGTGGAACCTGATCACTCTGCTCATTTGCTTCTGTGAACCCTGTGTTTCAGTGTGGACCTTTCTCCTGTCTTAAATCCTTGACCTCATGAAGCCAACACTGTAATGGGGAGGGGAAGACATTATAAAGCACACAACAAATAAATGGTATAGCTTGTTAGTGGATGGTAAAAGAAGCAGAAAATAGAAGCCAAGGGACAGGGCCGGGGCCAGGGGAGAACTGCATTGTCATTTCACAGTGGGTCATAGGGTGGGCCTCCTAGAAGATGTGGTATGTGGACAAGGACTTGAAAGGGGCAAGGGAGGCCCACCTCTGGCAGAGGGCAACTGAGGTGGAGGGGAGTGAGGGGCACTGAGGGCAGGCCGCACCCTGATAGCTGTTTTAGAAAGATCCCACTGCGTGCTGTGTTGAGAGCAGGAGGGGAGCAGGAGCCTTTCCTGGTACCTCGAGGGCAGGTGTTTTGGGCAGCTTGGGCTGCTGGTTCCAGAGGGAGGACACATATTTAGTGTTGAAAGCTACTGCAACTTGGGGGCTCCTGGTGTGCAACATTACTAGCCACATTCATTCGGTGCAACCAGAAATGGAGATCTGGGGTTGGAACCTGGCCTGTGTACCCCAGAAGGGTGCTCCAAGCTTCACTGCCACCGAGGGGCCTTGTGACTGGGGCTTTGTAGTTCTAAATCATGCACCTGGTGACTGAGGAGAGGTGCCTTCTGGGCCACCCAGGTGTAAGGGACCTGATAGAGGAGGACGACCTGTCATTCAGAACCCACTGTGAGCCTCTCAGCAGTACCTGCAGCAGAAGGTGGGCAGGCAGGCAGGCTGAGACCCCTTGTGTGCCCAGCCAGGGTTGCCGGCCTGTTTGCATGGCTGTGTTGATGTGTCTACTCTGGTAATCCACTCTGAGGGCCCCTGGAGAGTCAGCACACTCTTCTGGGTTGGGTCTGGGCCCTTCAGAGACACATCCGGTCACATGCTATCTGTTCCCATCTCCACCCTCACCAGGTTCCAGGTAAGTGGGGGGATAGTGCTCTGCTAACCTACTAGCCGCTGGCCCACCAGAGGGCGTTGTTCCTTCTGTCATCTGTTCAGGAATAACAGCTCAGGACGTGTGGCCCTGATTGCTACCCACAGCAGTTCTGGGGCAGCCCTTCCCTCCAAAGCTGACACGCAGCCTGGAGCTGCACAGACCTGTACCTAGTCCTGGGATGAGCTCTTCACTTTCTGATGCGGAAATTCCGGGTTTGTGGAGGCAGCTGCAACCCGACTTGAGAAGGGCCCTTTCAGCTGTAGGCCACAGATTTGCAGGCCAGCAGGGTGGGCCTTCTCACCCATGTGCTCAGGGCTTGGAGGGCATTTTTATGCAGGGCCAGACTGAGTACTTGAGTGTTCCAGGTCATGATGATTCTGTAAGCTCTGACACCATAGTTTGTGAGCAGAGACAGTATGCTAGCAAATGGGCATGATCATGTTCCAATAAATTTTTCACAGGCATTGAAATTTTCATTTCAGGTGTCACAAAATACTTGTTTGCAACCGTGTAAAAACCGTTCTTACTCTGGCTGGCGTGGCTCAGTGGTTGAGCGCTGGCCTTCAAATCAAAGTGTCGCCAGTTTGATTCCTGGTCTAGGGCACATGCCAGGGTTATAGGCCAGGTCCCCAGTTTGGGGGTGCACAAGAAGGAACCACATGTTTCCCTCTCTTCCTCCCTCCCTCTCTCTAAAAAGTAAGGTAAAAATAATAAAAACCATTCTTGGCCTTGACCAGCTAGTTCAGTTGGTTAGAACATCCCAATAAACTACGGATGTGGGTCCAATCCTGTTAGGGCACCTACAAGAATCAACCAATGAATACCTAAGTGAAAACAAATCTGTTTCCTCCTTAAAATTATTGGCATTGTTGTTTTTAATTCCTCACCCACTATGTGTGTGTGTGTGTGTGTGTGTGTGTGTGTAAGATCTTTATTTATTGGCCTTGGCTGGTGTAGCTCAGTGGATTGAGCACAGGCTGTGAACCAAAGGGTCACCGGTTTGATTCCCAGTCAGGGCACATGCCTTGGTTGCAGGCCAGGTCCCCAGTAGAGGTCATGTGAGAGTCAACCACACATTGATGTTTCTCTCCCTCTCTTTCTCCCTTCCCCTCTCTCTAAAAAAAAAAAAAAAAAAAAAAAAAATTTAATTTTTTATTTACTTAAAGAAATAGGAAGAGAAACATTGACATGAAAGAGATTCATCAATTGGCTGCCTCTCACACCCCCAACTGGGGACCTGGCTTACAACCCAGGCATGTACCCTGCCTGGGAATTGAACTGGCAACCCTTTTGGTTTGCAGGACGGCACTCAATCCACTAAGCCACACCAGCCAGGGTCCAAAGATATGTTTATTGCTTTTAGAGGGAGAGAGAAACATCTATATGAGAGATACATTGATTGGTTGCCTCCAGTATGTGCCCCAACCAGGGATGGAACCTACAACTTAAGATATGTACCCTGACCAGGTATCAAATCCACGAACGTTTGGTGTATGGAACGATGTTCAAACCAACTGAACCACCTGGCCAGAGGGGAAAAAAAGAAGCCATTCTTTTAGCTCCAGAACCGCACAAAACCAGGTGGCAGGTGGGTGGCAGCTCTTAATGGGAACACCTTCCTGGGCCCAGTTCTTGCCATGCTGGGGTGAGATCCTGTGCACCCACGACTACCCCAGGCTGTGGAGGGGACTGTGCACCCTCTGGTGGTAGGTAAGTAGGTCACCATGAACCCAGACTTGGGGCAGGTGCTGGCCTTGTCCACCTTTGTACATGGGCCTTGCACAGAGAGCAATGCGATTACCTCTCAGGAAAATTACCTTTCAGTTGTGTTGACCTTATTAGGTCTCTGAAAGCTCTTAATGGTTAGTCCTCTTCCATGGGTCTCTGACTTGATCTTAAAGCCTGGATACTTCCCAAATGCATCATTCCTTCCTTCAACAATCATTTCCTGAGCTGTGAGGGACACGGGTGTGTAAACCCACATGGGTTCTGCTCTCCCTCTCAACACTTGAGGAAGCTTCAAGAAACCTCAAAATAGTTACCATCCAATGTCATAAATCAAAGTTTAATAAATGAGAATGAAAGCAATTTCAGGTCAAAATTGTGGGTTTAATTTATTGACTCCAAAAAGAGAAGTTCAAAGTATTTTAAAACCTACTCTGAAACAGTTCTGGAAATCCTTAAAATGAGTTTACTGTTATGTTTACTGAAGCCCAATTTGGGAAACGAAGATTGAGAGTAGGACAGAATATTCCAAAACATACATGGCCCCATGGCAGCCCACAACCTTTCTGTCCTGCCCAGCGACCCAGTGCTGATGCACACCCTTTCCACACGGACACAGCTAAGATGCTCCTCGTCCTGCACTGCAGCTGGTATTTCCCACTGGAGTGCAGGACTTGGGGTTAATGCTGTTGAACTCTCAGTTGTATTGCAACATTTATGTAAACAAACCACACACTGAAATTTAACTTCAACAGAATTTTCAAATGTCACAAAAATTGCATTTTGTTCCCCCCATCATTTAAAAATGTAAAACCATTCTTAGTGCTGCTAAAAGGTAAACTGAGGTACACCACAATTTTGAAGACTTTACTTGAGCAAACATGGGTTGGAATCTGCCAGTGCCAAACCAAGCACTCTGCGGAGGTATAGGGAGAAGTTTTCATGAAGATGGAGGCAAAGCACGGAAACTGGTTGACCACAGCTCAAGCAGTTGGCTTACTTGGGAAGCCTGATTGGCTGTGAGAGGTGCATTTGCAGGAAATGACTAGCTGAACTTCTAGTCTGCTTGGCAGACTGAAAGCATTCAAGCCACCCAGTCTTAATGGCCTCAGTGTTTGGTTAACACACCACACAAAAGCAGAACATGGACTGGGTTTGGCCCACAGGCCACAGTTCACCAGCACTGAATCCAGGATCGCACTATCCAGAGAGACGTAGGTGGTGAAGTAGATTTAAGGTGGAAGGCTCTGCCTTCTTGCCTGTCCTGTGGTTACTGTTCAGGGAAAGAAAGAGTATTGTGCCCAGGGAGGAGTCTGTAAAACCCTTCTTCACCCCTTTGTCCCTCATCACTCAGGAGGAAACCAGGGAAGTGGAGTCTGATGGAGAGGCCCTCCCGTGTGTGACAGTGCTAAGTACCAGCAGACGGCAGGAGTGTGGCCTGTCCACTGAGGACCTTGGCTCTCATCCTATTGTTGGCTGGCCTAAAATATTTAAGGCCTTTAAATATTTGGCCCACCTGTCCAGATGTGCCAGCAGTGACCACCTGGCTGAATACGGTAGCTGAGGCAGGGACACAATGAGCAAAACCTCTGAAAAATACACAGAAGTGCCAGATCCTCTGGCATTGACCCTTCCAGGTGCAAGTCCTGGGTGGAACAGGAGTGACTGGAGAGGCAAGCACACTGACTTCATGCTGTCCTGGCACCAGGAGGGGGACAGCATCGGCTGGCAATCATGCTGACCAGCTGCAGGGTCAAGACCGCCCCCCCCAACGTATTGTAGAAACAAACTCCCATGGACTTGACCATCTCCAACTCTGCTGCTCCCAACTTCACAAGAAAGCTCTGGAACCTCCTGGTGCAAACACACAGGAATCAGCAAGCATTTCCTTCACCTAACACAATCCATAGTCTGCTACAGGCTCTGTGGTGCATGGTGATTGAAGCAGCAAGGTCCTGGGGCCCTGCCCATGGGCCATACCAATACCATACCAATGCAATAGTGACCCAAATCAAGTGTTGCAAGAGATCCTCAGGTGACCTGTGCTCTCTGGTCTATCTGTCCACATGTGAGATAACTGAGCCTCTCTGCTGGGACAGGGGTCTCTCAAATATCACCTCTGTGACTATAACAATGACTCCAAAGGTCAGCAGGTCTCAAGTGGGTGGCCCTGGGCAGCAGCTTCTCTGAACCGGACTTCTAGCCCCAGCTCATTCACAGCTGGTGAATCCAGGACCCTGGGCAGGGCTGGAGTCCATGATGCAGGTCTGCATCATCCTATGGCCCCCAGGGCCTTAATTACATACTCTGTGAGACAAAGTGAATGGACATGGTCCCAGCCTGTTGGTCCAATTCACCAGAGTGGCTGACCCATCTAGAAACTCAACTGGATGCTGGGTGGCTGCCTGCCTGGGCTGCTGATGTGGGAAGGAAAGGGCTTAGATGAAGGCAGAAGGAAATTCCAGTAATGCCTCTTTTGGACTTCTGTGCATGTGAGCTCACACATCCTTGCTGCTGAAGCCAGTCTGAGTAACTGGTGCTGAAGACACTGAGCATCTCACATGGCGGAGCTCACGGGGCTCTTAGGCCTCGGCCACAGAACCTGGTCTTCCCTCTGTGTACTCAGAACTCTACGTGTGGGCACCCTGATGTGAGGGGCACAGGCTTTACTGAGTGGGATAAGGTCAAACACTCTAGCAAATAAAACACATACTTTGTATGAATTTGGACGTCCTTTCTTAAAAGAACAATTTTAAATCTTTAAAACTTGTCAATACCATTCCAACTTGTCAATATCAATGATCCCATATAAAATAAGTATGTTAAGGCTGTGGGTTTATTCTCCCTTACATGCAAGTGCATTTACAGAGGTGTGTGGTCTATTCTATGTGAGTCTTCTGATGCTGAGTGAGCCTAGAGCTCCGATTAAAGGCTTTGCCACATTTGGTACATTTATAAGGTTTCTCTCCAGTGTGAATCCTCTGATGTATAATTAGATGCGAGCGCCATCTGAATATTTTCTCACATTCATTACATTTGTGTAGTTTCTTTACAGTGTTAACTTTTTTACGGCTCACATGGGTAGGACCCTCCAGGGTGCCCCCGTATTCATGGTACCACTGGGCTCGTGTGTGAATCCTCTGGTGCTCGATGAGGTATGAGCTCCGACTGAAGGCTTTCCCACACTCACTGCATCCATAGGGCTTCACTCCAGCATGAATTATCTGGTGTTGGAAAAGGGTGGAGTTCTGACTGAAGGCTTTCCCGCACTCACCACATTTATAGGGCCTCTCCCCGGTGTGAACCCTCTGATGGATTGTCAGCTGTGTGCTCATACTGAAGGCTTTTCCGCACTCCAGGCACTCGTAGGGCTTCTCCCCTTTGTGGATCCTCTGATGGTAAATGAGGCTTGAGCTCTGGCTGAAGGCTTTCCCACAGTCACTACACTCATAGGGCTTCTCTCCTGTGTGAATTCTCTGGTGCTGAATCAGGTGTGAGCCCTGAACAAAGCCCTTCCCACACTCATCACATTTGAATGGTTTCTCTCCAGTGTGAGTTCTTTGGTGGCGAATAAGCCGTGAGCTACAACCAAAGGCTTTTGCACACTTGTTGCATTTATATGGTTTCTCTCCGGTGTGAGTTAGCTGATGCTGACTAAGGCGAGAGACCCACCTAAAAGCCTTCCCACACTCATCACACTTGAACGGTTTCTCTGCAGCATGGGTTCTCTGGTGAGCAACGAGGCCGGCACCATCCAGTGTTCTTGGAACTGAAGGCTTCTCCCCAGCGTGCATCCGCTGGTGCTGGGCCAGGGTTGAGCTCTGGCTGAAGGCCTTCCCACACTCCTGGCACAGGTAGGGCCTCTCTCCAGTGTGAGTCCGCTGGTGTCTGACCAGCTGAGACTGCTGGCTGAAGGCCTTCCCACACTCACGACATCCATAGGGCCTCTCTCCCGTGTGCACCCTCTGATGGTGGATGAGGCTGGAGCTCTGACCAAAGGCTTTCCCACACTCCTCACACCTGTAGGGCTTCTCTCCAGTATGAATTCTTTGATGCTGAATAAGTTTTGAGCTCAGGCGAAAGGCCTTTCCACACTCAATGCATTTGAATGGTTTCTCTCCTGTGTGGATTCTCTGATGCTGATTAAGCTGTGAACACAACCTGAAGACTTTCCCACATTCATCACACTCATATGGCTTCTCCCCACGGCAGTTACTTTGATGTTTCCCCTGTGGACAATCAGATAACGTTTCTTGGCATTCTTGACATCTGTTCAGTTTCTTCTGTATGTTAACTTCGTGAAGCAGAGTTGTGAATATGAAACCCCTGCCACACACATCACATCTTAGGGATATCCCATCTGCAGCAACCCCCTGACTTTTATCAGGCTGACAACCCATGCCGCCACAGCCCTGCACATCCTCCTGGGTAGAGATCTTCCTGGCAGCCACAGTTCCTGTGTGCAAGTGGTGTTTCTGGAAGAGAGAGCTCGGTTTACTCTCCAGCCAGACCTCAGAAACAGAAGTATCTCCGAAGCAGGGACTCTGAGGAGAATCACGTGGTGGGGTTTTGACCATTGCTGCCAGGGACTCTGATTTCAGTATGTATACATCCTCATGGGCCTGCCCACCATCAGTGCTAATTGCAGAATCTGAAACATACAGGAAGAATAAGGCTCTTTCTCCTGAGCTCAGACAAAGGACAAAGGCTGGGGTGGAGGTCCTCCCCAGGAACTGAGCTCCCTCCCAGGCCACCCCACATGCAAAGACACCATGGAAAGTTGACACCTTTGACAGTTCTCAAAATTTGGTTTCATTCATACTTTTTGCTTCACAAATTGATTCAACCACAGTGTACTCAGGTGAGTGCTAATAGCTACCCTCCCACAAGGGGGCTACGCCAGCAGAGGTTCATCCTGTGGGGAAACTGTGAGGAAGTCCACAAAAAAGAAAGTGAACCTGAGAGGGTGGGGGGTTTTGTGAGAGGCAGGATTAGCCTGAGAGGTCAAAGGAGGTGGAGTGTAAGGAAGAAAGAGGGAGTTTGGGCTATAAGCAGAGGGATGAGCAGGTACTGAGATAGTCGAGGCAGGAGAGCTATCAAGGGTCATACAATGGTGAGCCCGAAGGGCTGGGCCCCGGGCTGTCTCCTGGGTGGGTTTCTGAGCAAGACCCAAGGGCTGAACTTTGCTTCCTCCAGCAGCCAACGGGCCACTCCCTCCACGGAAATCACACCTGATCATGTCCCTGGTCAGTCTGCCCCTCTCCTTCCCCACATGGACATCTCCTTCCTATGTGTTTCTGGGGGCTCTGCCTACCCCATCTGTCCCTACAAGGCCCTCCTCAAATCCACTTTCCCTCTGGATTCTCCACCTAAGTGTCAGCCTCCTTCCTACTCTGCAATCCCAGGAAGTGCCTTTGCTGAAGTCAGACCCTGTTGTCCCTAATCATATCTAGGGCCATCATTAGCCCGCTGCTGTCCCACAGTGAAGCCCAGGGCCCAGTGACAGGGCTCCACTGGCTCCTCACACCAGTGCTCTCTCCACCCAGCTGCAGCAACCTACGTCTCTGTCAGTCCCAGCGCGCGGAAGGGGCTGCCACACTGTGCATCTGTGCACAAGGACAGCTCCTGCTCCCTCCTGCCACTGTTCTTCACAACAACCCAGTGGGGTCAAGAGTGGATAAGGGGCTCGTGGCTCAGAGAGATTACGTTACTCACCCATGGTCACACAGCTAATGAAACACAGGAATGGACCAAGTTCTGTTTCCCTAAACACACACCCTTTCAATATCTCTGTACCCTTAAGACGGGGGACATCTCCTCCCTGGTCCTCACTGTTTCTCTTTCTCTGCACAAACACAACCTTGGCAAACCTGCTCCTTCAACACGGCAAGAGCAGCCACAGAGATAGAAAACAGACAAGCACTGCTGCCCTCTGCCTGCCGCTTCAGTGCAGAGGCCCCTACAAACAGCCGTGAAGAAGGAAAAGCCACGAAGAGCAGCCAGGGACAGCTGCACTGCCAGCCCAGCCACGAGCCCTGGGCCTCCTGCTGTGCTTCAGCAGCCACAGCCTCAGCGACACTGCAAACCAGCTGCTCTGGAGTCCGCCTCCCTCTCTCCTATAGTCAAGTCAGTAAACGGCAGTTACATTATGAAGGTCTTGCCACGTCCCCAGCACCAGCATTTCACAGTCATCGGCCTCCTTTCTGGCTCAGAGTGCACATGTTCCCTCCTTTCAGGCCCTTGTGACACCTACACACAGCACAGCCCATCTCTTCCTGTCCCCACTTACAAGGGACCATTCCTCTGACAAAGACCCAGCCCAGCCAGTCTTCTCTGAGCCTTCCTCAAGCAGGCCTCTCCCTGGGTCTGTAAGGAGAAAACACTAATGTGGCTTCTAATAACTCAAGGCCACACCTGCAGGATGACCCCACCCCAATTTAAAGCACCTGGCAGAGAAAACTGAAGGATGCGTGTTCCACCCATGCCCAAGAGCAGGGCTGGTCAAGACGCTCAGGTGGTATCACATGGACCTGCCTCTCCTCTTCTGGGATCCATCGGGCCCCTGCCTGCTCTATCACCTTGGGGCAAGTGGAAGCTGGGCTAGTGCTTGTGAACTCTGACCTACTGTAGTCCTCACTCCGACTGAATTCTGTGCTCACCACAGCAACTATGACTCATCCCAAGGAGCCCCTGGGGGCCTCAAGTCCTGGGGCAAGAGTGGTGGTTTCGGGGCAGCTGCAGGCCCTGGGGAGGGTCCTGGGATATCAACTGCACCAACTGACAAAATCACATCTTAGGCAACTACACTTCCTAACACATTCCACAAATTTTCATCCACAGGCTGTCCTGTGTGCTCAGGTCCGCAAGCAGCTCTAGGTCTCACTGCAGGAATGCCTTCCTGTCACCTAACCACAGGAAGGCCATTCGCTGCATGGGAACCACTAAGGAGCTCGGCCCACTCCAGCTGGCTCTCCTGCCATGGTGCCCCCTTTGAAATCTCCCCCTCCTTGGAAATGTTTACTGGGGGCTGGGTTTTAACCAGGCTGGTCTGTCCCTTTACTCCTTCCTAAGAAGGGTAAGAAAGGAGTCTAAATGGGAGGTCCCTGTTATGGTCTGACTGTGCCCCTGAAAGGTGGGCTGAAGCTCCAGCCCAGGATCTGAAAACATGAACTTACTTACAAACAGGACTGTGCAGATGAAGTTAGTTCTGATGAGGTCACACTGAAGTATGCAGGGCTCTCACCCAATGTGAGTGGTGTCCTCAGACAGAGAGACATGGGGACAGCGCACTGTGATGGCAGAGGACTGAGGTGGTGTGGCCACACCCAGAGAACACCTGGGGCCACCAGAACCTGGAAGAGGCAGGAAAGAGCCTCCCCTACAGATTTCAGAGAGGACCCAACACTGCCAACGCCTTGAGTTTGGGCCTCTGGCCTCCAGCCCGTGATGCTTTGTCACAGCAGCCCCAGAGCCGGATCTCAGAAGCTGGCATCACCCAGGGCCCCGAGAAGTTCTGGAGGGAGCGCAAATGTCCCTGGGAGGCTGCTCAGAACCAAGTTTACTGCTTCCCTTGCACCCATGTTTACATCTCTGATTGATAAGGGTATTGTTAAGATTAGAAACTGAATAAAATGTGGTTTCGAATCAAACTTGCATACTGAACTGTGGAGCCCACCTCCCCAGGCACAGGTTCTCTGCCACAGGCCCATACCTCACCTGTCTGAGGGGTCCTTGGCAGCTCTCTCCCCTCAGTTCCCTGCAGGTCAAGGACCCATGGCTCCTCCCCCTGCTCCAGCCGGGAGATCAGCTCAGGCTTGAAGAGCAGAAATCCTGCTGTCAAGGGGACAAAGGAAAGCATATTGGCATTGCTGGGAACATAGCTCAGGGTCAGTGTCCCCCGGATTCCAAGAGTAAAGGGGTATGGGGCTGCTTGGGCACAGGAAGGGTCTGTGAAAGCATTACAGGGTGAGGGTCTGGGCACAGGGGCACAGGGGCTCTCTCTGTCTGATTTAGCCCAGCTCTGGGGTCTGGGCACTGAGGCATGCCCGGACTCCCAGCTGATTCCCTTCTGCTTCAAGGACCCAGGACACCTTGCCACCCAACAGTTTGCCAAGAACAGGCTGCTCTGCCCCAGGAAGAGAAAAGCCAGGCACGGCCAGTGCACCCCTCAGTTCAGGCACAGTCCAAGAGATAGGGGTTAAGAAACAAGACAAGAACATGTGAAATCTTGCTTCCCAGCATATGACATCAGCTTGGCTCAAATTAACTGTCATTTAAATTAAAAAAAAAAAAAAAAAAGCCCTGGCCTGGTAGCTCACTTCGTGAGAACCTTGTCCCAGTGTGCCAAGGTTGTGGGTCCGACTCCCAGTCAGGGCACATACGAGAACAACCAGTGAGCGCATCAGTAAGTGAAACGACAAAGCCATGTTTTTCTCTCTCCCTCTCCCCTCCTTTCTCTCTCTGAAGTCAGCAAATAAAAAATCTTTAAAAGAAACAAAATGGAAGAACAAAAATAAACCAACAAATGAACCCGTTTTAAGTCAGAAGGCACTCAGGTCCAATCATCACCTGGTGGCCCCCAGTCTTGCACCCTTTCACAAAGCGAGGGAGCCTAGGCGGCCCGGGGAGTGGCAGAGACCTGTGGGCCCTCACCTGGCACCCCCCTTCTGGGGCCACCAGCCCCAGGCTATGGGGCAACAGTGTGGTAAGCTCCCAGCCCTTCTCAGGGCCCAGTGGTTGGAGCTTCCCTCAGGTTTCTGGCCATGGGGGTGGAGAAGGGCAGGCAGAGAGATCCCAGGTCAAAGGCCTCAGGTTCAAGCAGAACCCCACACTGAAGCGTGTTGTCTCCACGCACACGTGGAACATTCAGAGAAACATCTGTGGGCCAGCCATGAACGGGTCATGATGCAGGCCACAGAGCCTCAGAACACAGAACCAAAATGCAACAGGACATGAAAGTTACCACAATAGGCAGTTCAAATCTTTTTGCCACTTGGGAATTCAGTAAGGAGATACTAACTGGCAACTGTATTTACTGAGTCAAAATGTGTAGGATGCAACGGAAGCAATACTTAAACATATCTTTAAACAAACTTACTAGAAACAAAAACAGTAAGAAACAAATGAGCTAAACATTAAATTCAGTAAGTTGAGAACAAAACCACACAGCAAATACAAGCACAAAGGAAGGAAATACTTAAGGCAGGGCAGGATTCAATGGGATAGAAAACAAGGACTGGCCCCCTACACAAACACCATTCCCCAAAACTGAGCAGAGCCAGAAGCTGGCTGTTCGGAAAGATGAACAAGCAATCCTGAGGAAAACTGATCAAGGTACTGCCAAAAACTCACATAAGGGAACAGCTGCAACACCACAAAGATTAAAAATAAAAACAAAGAATATTACGAACAAACACACGCTAAAAACTGAGTATCCAAATGAATACACTGACTTGTAGAAGAACTAGAAAAGACAGAAGTGGCACAAGCAGAAATTCAGAGGCTTGCGAGGCCATCAAGCATGAACAAAAAGGACGGGCTTCCCCTGGGGCCCAGGAGCTTTACAGGGAGTTCAACCAAAAACTTGTAAGGTTCCATTAATTCCATTCATGTAAATTCCTACCAAAGTAAAAAAGACAGTGAAACACTTATTTCTAGTGTGGACTTTATCTTATAACAAGGAGGCTTTATTACCTCCCGGAAGTCCATGCACCCTGTGAGGATTAAACCACGTGACAAGAGCAAAGCTGGGAGCCTGCCTGGGTCACCACGACCCGTCCCAATGGGGTCAGGGCCTGACCACATTGCCTCCAGATCCCCAGCTCTCACAGAGGCCTGGCTCTGTGGGTGCTGACCGATGACTCGGGGGCGGGTCCCAAGCTACAGCCTCACCTAATCCAGCCACACTGCTGTGGTTCTCCAGCATCACCTCCTTGTAGAGGGCCCTCTGGCCAGGATCCAGACACTGCCACTCCTCCCTTGAGAAGTGCACAGCCACGTCACCAAATGTCACAGCCTCCTGGAAGGACACACACCAGCAGCTCAGGGACTCCTGGGTGCCAGCCCCAATCTGGCACCACCTCATGGTGTATCTTAGGTACGTGCACCACAGGGTTGACTGAGACAGTCGCCAGGCCCCTTTGGCTCTAAAATCAAGGGGAAGGGGGGCAGGGAGGGAGGGGAGGGACCCAGACCCTGGACATCTACAGCCCTCCCCTTGAGAGGACCAGGCAGGTCCTCAGACCAGGCACACCACAGTCTGGGCAAACGTCAGCTCTCTACTTCCGGGATGGGCATGCCTGAGTCTGACAAGGGCCACAAGGTGGGGGCGGGGGGGGGGGGCGCGGGGCGGCAGCGTTGAGGCAAGGTCTAGGCCCAGGCCCAGTGGGCAGCGTGGGAAACCAGATGAGGTGGCAGGGCCGTCACAGGATAAGTGATGGAATGGAGGGTAGTCAGACTCCTACCATGAGGCTCCGTGAGTGAGTATCGATGTGTCCTGGCTGGGAGACCTGTTGACAGTTTAAAAAGGGTCAAAGGTCAGGATGCTGGAAGGCTCCCCACCCCTGACTCCCAGGCTAATGCAGGGAGCCCAGGGTTCTCCTATCCTTTACCTCTACCTCCAGATATTCTCCAGCAGGCATACTGAGCAGAATCAAAGCTGCCACAGCACTTGAGCATCTGCCCCCAAGGCCTGGGTCATTTCTCAGTGTGAGTGGCAGCTGTGAGTTACCCACGAACACTTAAGGGATGGTTGCTGTGTGGGCTTGAGCCAAGCAACGGGATGCGGCGTGAACAATGCACAAGGACTCTCTCTGCCTTCACGCAACAGTCTAGTGGAGGAAAAAGTTAAATAGACACAAATAAATGCAGAATTATAACCGCAATGGCAGTAAAGCACAAGGAACTCTGAAAGCATCTAAACTAGGAAACCCTGACTCAGTCTGCGGGGTCACTTTCCCTAGGAGCTAATTAGACCAAGACGATGGAGGTGGGGAAGGCACTCCTGGCAGTAGGTACAGCATGTGCAAAGGGGCTGGATCACAGGCAGCAAGAAGCGTGTGACTGGAGATCGGAGTAGCCAGGACCCTAACAATGAACCTTTGGGAAAAGAGGAATGGCTACAGGAACCCCCTCCCATGCACTTGGCTCCCTCCCCTTTGTCCGCCTGGTAGGTCTGAATGAGGACTGGTGTTCCCAGTGGAGCTTCTGGGTCAGAAAGTGCCTTGTAGGTGGACGTCCCAGACCGTGTGCACAGTGAGGCTGACGGGACAGAAATGACCACCGTCGGGTGGGCCCCCTCCTGGGCCTTACCGGAAGGAGGCAGCTGCCAGCGCTGGATCCTGGTCTCCGCACAGATGGGCAGGCCCTGAGCGGCAGCCAGAATTCTGAGAAGGCAAACTTCCTACCCACGCAAGACACAGCCCTTTCAACAACTGTCACTAAGTCTAGATCTTCCAGGGCCGTAAATGGAGGGAAAGGGGGCCCTCGACGAGGATGGTTATTCACGAAGGAGACCCAAGATCCCTCTGGAGCCAGCTGGTGGGAAGGCCGAAAGAGAGGCTACGGGAGTCGGCCAAAAGCCTCCCGCCTCCGCGGACAAGGCGGCCGGGGCTCCACCACCCTCACGGCCCTTCCAAGCTGCCCACTCCTCCCGAGCTTCCTCGCCTAAAGGCGGGGGGAGCGCGAGGCCCGCACTGCCGTAGACTGGAAGACTCGGGGGTCCGCCGAGGGCGTTGCGCCTGAAGGTGCGACCGCCGCCTTGACTCACTCTTCCACAGCACCGCCGACGGATCCAAACGCGCGACGCCGCTGGAGATGGGCCTAGACGCCCGCGCCCCCTCTGTCCCACAGACTTCCGGCCCTTCTGGGCGGCTTGGAGGCTCGCCGTCTCGATGGTTCCCAGCCGGAACGGAGGCGCCGAAGAAGGGGCGGGACCAGACTGAGGGGAAAGGACACAGACTGCGGGGCGGAGCATAAGCCTGAAGGGGGCGGGGCCACAGACCGGGAGGGCAAACCCCTGGGAAGGGGCGGGGGCTGAGCCGATGGGGGCGGGGCCGGGGCCCGTAGGATGGGGCGGGGTCGGAATCCAGGGGAAGACGGAGCCCAGGAAAAGAAATTCTCTTGCACCCAAAGACTCATTCTACTCTTTGGTTTAAGGAGAATGAAATTGACTGAGGTTTTTTTTCATAGTACGTTTATTAAGGCTGGAGACAGTGAAACAAGAAAGAAGCAACAGGAGAGAACCTTGGCGGGGCTGCTTTGGCTTACTGGAAAGTCAGAGAAAAGGGGATCTTGGAGACAGGTTCAGGGAGTTAGCCCTGCACGAACTTTTGCTGCCCATTGTTCCTCAGGTTACAAGTCTTGTAGGGTCCTAGAGTTTAGCAGATGCATTCCTCAGAGGAAAGAAGAGGGGGGTAAGGGAAAGGTCTGGGCATGCTCCCTGGACGGAGAGTGCACTAAAATGGACTGTTTAAAAAAAATTCTGTCACATGCTACAACATGGATGAACCTTGAGGTCATTATGCTAAGTGGAATAAGACAGTCACAAAAAGACAAATACTGTATGACTCCACTTATATGAGGTATCTGGAGCAGTCAAAGTTATAGAGACAAGAATCGGAGGGTTGTTGCCAGGCGCTAGGAGAGGGGAGGATGGGGGGTTATTGTTTAACGTGGGCAGTTTCAGTTTTGCAAGGTGAGAAGAGTTGTAGCCCTGGCTGATACGGCTCAGTGATTGAACACTGGTCTGTGAATGGAAAGGTCTCTGGCTTGATTCCCAGCCAGGGCACATGCCTGGGTTGTGGGCCAGGTCCCCAAGTGGGGCCACTCAGTGTTTCTCTCCCTTTCTTTCTCCCTCTATCCTTTCTCTCTAAAAATAAATAAATAAAATCTGGGAAAAAAAGAGTTCTATAAATTATTGGTATTGATGGTTACACTACCAATATGAATGTACTTAATACCACCAAAATGTACACTTAAAAGTGGTTAAGATACTCAGTATAAGCTGAACAACAAACTGATGCTTCTCTCTCCACCTTTATCAGCTTCCTCCAGGTCCATATAGTAAGAATAGCCCTATCGATGGAATGAACCTTTGCTGTGTGGCATATTTGTCCTCAACAGCCTCATGAGATGAGGGGCACAGCACTCAGATTACAAGGAGGTAGTACTAGAATTCCTCCCACATGGGCCTGAACTGAAGTCACTGTGTCTTAACCTGACCCTGCAGGTGACCCTCAGAGCCTCCAGATCATTTCCATCTCTTCTGAGGAGGCTGATCCCTTGGTCACAATGCACAATGCACTTAGCCTTCCTGTGGTCATGTTACCACCCATAATCCCTAACCTCTCTTCTTGCTTTCTTTTTTCCTATTGCTTCAAACTGAGGATGACTTGAGGACTTTCAAATTCACAGACATTGATAAGAAATTTGAGCGAAATTCTCCACTATTGAAGAGAGAGCAACTCCAAACACTGTGAGCCTGTACAACTAACTGGGTGGGGGCAGGTCTAGAGGGAGAGCCTTTGGAGCCTCTGGTTGTTTGAGTGCAGGACCACGAGGGCAGTTCCCAGGTGGGGGACCTCCTTAGCAAAGCAGGAGCCCTTCCCAAGAATGAAGAATGATGAAGTACGGACACCACTGCAGGACAGAAAGTCTGGGAATTGAGACAGTCGTCATTCTTTGTCACCTATTTGATCACATTATGGGGAGGTGTCCAGGAACATGGTTCGTGGGCCACAATGTCCAGGATATTCAGATGTAATGAAACCCAGAAGACTTCGTGTGTGCGCAGCACAGTGGCACAGCTTGTCTGTCAGCTACAGGTTCCGAAATCCATCACTGGAGTCCACAGGTAGAGAAAGATGAGGAGGTCGTGCAGAGTGTGGCTGCACCACAGACTGGCTTGCAGGTGACACTGGGAACAGAGCAATGGGGGTGAGGGGGAGGTGAGGGAGGCGACGCTGAGTCCCTGGGGCCCTTCCCTCCTGGCTGCAGCTCGAGATGAGACCTCCACTCTCCCAGGACCATGTATGAGCACAAGGAAAACCCAGGGTCAGTTATCTGCACTCACCCTTATCACAGAATCACCGGAATCCTGTTCACTGTGGACCAGTCAACAGCGCTGATGTATGGCGGAGCAGGGGATGAGGTGACCTGGAGGGGCTCAGCACCAAGGACAGCGCCAAGCGGCCTCGCGGGAGGACGTGGGAGTGAAAGGAACACGTAGGCTTGATCCAGCCCCATAGGCAGTGCAGGAATTTGGGGGACACGGGGAAAACGTAAGGTCAAGGTCTACTACCGTTCAAGTACGCAGTGTGAGAGGAGCAGTTCCAAGTGAATGAGAGCACAGCGAGCGGCGTGACAAAGAGCTCATTGGTCAGGCGAGGGGCTGTCTCCTGCTCACATTTGCTCCTCCCATCTCCTTCTTTCCAACCCCTGCACCCTGTCTCCAGGACTACTGGCTCTTGTAGTTGGGTTTGGCCAATGGAAACCTCAACAGGAGATTGGACTGTGAAAAGGGAGTGAGGCCAGGGACCTGGAATCTTCTGGACACTGAAGCCTTGCAAAACCTCCCATCCTGGGCTCTGGCTGGTGTGGCTCAGTGGACTGAGTGCTGGCCTGCAAACTGAAAGATTACCGTTTAGATTCTGGGTCAGGTCACATGCCTGGGTTGCTGGCCAGGTCCCCAGTTGCAGGTGCGGGAGAGGCAACCCAACGATGTTTCTTTCCCTCTCTCCTTCCTTCCCCTCTCTTTAAAAAATGAATAAAATATTTTTTAATACAGAAAGAAAATGTTCTTGCTGCATTACTACATTAAACAGACTGTAAGCAGAGAAATAAACTTGGGAGCACATTCCCCAGCACATTAACCTTAGTTTCTTTCTGGGTCCTAGAATTATGGGTGGTTCTTATGTTTCTTCTATTTTTATGATTTTGCCAAGACTTATTATTTATTTACAAATGTGTGTTGCCTCTTTGTCTGAGGAAAAATTATTTAAAAACCAATACATACAATCTTGATTGAGCCATTTGTATGCCCCTGCCTGGACAGACACTTGACCTCCTGTGTTTGGTGGAGGTCTCTGGGGTATCCTTTTCTGTGGGGCTTGAGATTCCTAAGTTGCTGCCACTGTGTTAAGTGATGGCCCCTTTAGGCATCAGTTAACAGTAAGCCTGCAGTCATACTGTGAGGTGACATCTTGCAGGAGAGCCTTTGTAGCATGTGAGAGTATAAAGAGCTACAGAGGGTGATCTGGGAGGCTTGATGGGTCAGTTTGCTGCAAATGCACAGAAGAGCAGAACCACATCACAACCAGCCAGCCCCCACTGGGATGTTGTCCAGGGCAGTCTGTAGGCAGGACCTGTCTGCACCATTGCTGCTGGCTCATCTGATAGAGATGCTGTCCTCCTTACCCTGACAAAGCAACAGAGAATCTCAGAGGATGGGCATCTCAGGGAAAGACCTGCCCCCACTCCTCAATACACACTCCCTCCACTGCTAAGAGGGGTAAGTCACCACACTGATTCTTGTTTACTCCTATCAGGGGAGAGCGTGTACTTGGGGAGGAGCCACCAGATTATTGGGGGAGGGGGACCTGCTAGTAGTTCTGCTTTTGGAGCCAAGAAATAAGTCTTCAGTCAGATTAAAACTGTGCTGGGTGGAAAAGATCGAGCAGTGAACATAATGATAACAAAACATCAGGTTTTTGCTCAGAGTGACAGGAGAGACAATATCAAGAGGAGTGCTAATGTAGCTGAAGCATTGGTCTGACAGTTCTCCGGGGAAAAAAAAGAATGCAGGGGGACTGGTCGGCCACCACCTGCTGCTCTGGAGCAGGTGTACTCAGATGCTTGCAGGTGTGAGGTTCAGGGGGCATCAAGCAAACACTGACAGGCTGGTCCTCCCAGGGCTGCCTCCCTTGCACCCTCAGCTCTGTACAAGCAACCCAGGCTCCCTGTGACAACACTGAAAAAAAAACAACATTATTTTTTTAGCCCTGACTGATGTGGCTCAGTGGATTGAATGCCCACCTGTGAACCAAAAGGTCACTGGTTCAATTCCCAGTCAGGGCGCATGCCTGGGTTGCGGGCCAGGTCCCCAGTAGGGTGTGCTGCAGAAGCAACCGCACATTGATGTTTCTCTACCTCTCTTTCTGTGCCACTTCCCCTCTCTGAAAATATAAATTAAAATTTTAAAAAATAACACTTTTTAAAATGTCATTGATTTTAGAGAGAGAGGAAAGGAGAGAGAAAAAATGGATTCGCTGTTCTACTTATTTATGCATTCATTAGTTGATTCCCGTTTGTGCCTTGAACAGAGATCGAACCCACAGTCTCTGTGAATCGGGATGACGCTCCAACCAACTGAGCAACCTGGACAGGGCCAAGAATGGTTTTTAAAGGGTTGCAAACCCACCTCCCGGGCCCTGCCCTCAGGACGACCCCACTGCGGGAGAGCAGTCCGCAGGCTAAACATTCCGGACTCCTCTGACGCGGCCAACGCCCGGCTTCAGCTCAGAGTCCACGTCGATAGGAGAGGACTACAAGTCCCGGCGTGCACTGTGCCCGCGGCCGCTGCCGCGGCGCTTGCCCGGAAGTGAAAGTGGCTTTCAGCCTGGCCCCGGAAGATAAGGCAGTTCCTGGGCCCGCCTACTCTCTTTCGGCCGCGCTAGGCAGCAGGTACGTTGTGTTTGCGGCGTGGCGGTCTCAGTGTCATCCGCCGCCATCCGCCGCCATCCGCCGCCATCCGCCACCCTGGGGTCCGCAAAGAGCTCACGCCAACTTCTGAGAGGACTCAGTTCGGGGATGGGGGCGCGGAGGCGGTCGGGGGCTGGAGGGAGGAGCCTGGGGAAAGGGGGCCCTGAAGCCGGGCAGCGGGAGTACCTGGGCTCCTTTGGCGCTGACCGTGAGCTTCCGCTAGACTGCCGTCATGGGCCGCGTTATTCGTGGGCAGAGGAAGGGCGCCGGCTCCGTGTTCCGCGCGCACGTGAAACACCGCAAGGGCGCCGCACGTCTGCGCGCCGTGGACTTCGCTGAGCGCCACGGCTACATTAAGGGCATCGTGAAGGTGCGAGGCGCTGGTCGGGATGGGTGGGGGCGCGGGGCGTCCTACCGAGACCCCACACTCACTCTGTCTCGGCCCACAGGACATCATCCATGATCCAGGCCGGGGCGCGCCGCTCGCCAAGGTGGTCTTCCGGGATCCGTACCGGTTTAAGAAGCGGACGGAATTGTTCATCGCAGCCGAAGGCATCCACACCGGCCAGTTCGTGTACTGCGGCAAGAAGGGTGAGCACCGCTTGTGTTTGTGATGGGAGGACGGGGTTGGTTGCATGGAGAGGTACACACCCCAAGTCGGGCAGGGGAGGCATCCAGGAGGAAGGGTCACCTGGTGAGTCCTGCTGGCCCGAACGTCGCCAGGGGGTGCCCGGAGAATGAAGGGGTGTTGTGACTATTTGGGGGTGCTGTGCCGAGCGGGTGGGTTTACGGTGCCTGTGGTTAGCAGTCGTTAAGACACCACCTCCCCGTGCTGACTTGAGCACCGTCTGCTCGTTCTTGCAGCTCAGCTGAACATTGGCAATGTGCTCCCGGTGGGCACCATGCCTGAGGGCACCATCGTGTGTTGTCTGGAGGAGAAGCCTGGTGACCGGGGCAAGCTGGCCCGGGCCTCTGGGAACTATGCCACCGTCATCTCCCACAACCCCGAGACCAAAAAGACTCGAGTCAAGCTGCCTTCAGGCTCCAAGAAGGTCATTTCCTCCGCCAACCGAGCTGTGGTTGGTGAGTGACTGGTAGCAGTTGGATGCTGTGGGTGGCTTGTGGACAGCCAGCAAGTATACCTGGGCTCTGGAACCTAGCTGCTCACTCCACTGGAGTAGGCTCTGTGAACTTGATCATGCATGTGGCCTGTGAGTCTTAATATTTGTAAAGTCAGTACAGTGGTACCTGTACTTACTTCACTGCTGGTTGGGAGTTGAAGGAGACTGGGCTTAACTGCTTGGGACTTGTTTACAGTCTCGCATAACCTAGACTTGTGTGATTTCTGCCTCATACCCACTTGTTAACTACCTTTTCAGAGATGTGCAATTTCTTTAAAATCACCCAGTAAGTAAGATTTGCACTCAGGTTTGTTCACTGTGCTGTTTGGTAACACCTTCCAGTTCTGTGGCAAACCCAGTCCTGCGTGGGGGAGTCTTTTGTGCGTATGTTCACAGAATAAGCAAAACTGGCTGAGATGTGGGAGGATGGGTTAGCTGTCATGTTGGGGTTGGGTTTCCGAGGTTGAGTAACCTACCCCGTGTCAGACACGGTGAAGGGCTTACCTGGAGAACACTGGATTGAGATAGGCATTCCAGATGATGTGGGCAAAGGCCTGGCCTGGCACCCCATGGAACCTGAAGAAACTTCCTGTCAGATGACAGGCTGCAAAGGTGTTCAATGCTGGGTGGCCATTGCACAGTGTTAATGGGGCTTCTGTGGACTTTGTGATGATACATGACAGTACAGAGTGAGTGTGATTGGTGCAGGTGGTGGGGTGGTGACAGGGACCCAGCAGGGTATATTCTCTCTGATAGGATAGGAAGCACCTTTCTGAAATGCCTGATCTTCAGCTCAGTTGGGAGAGCGTTAGACTGAAATGCCTTATCTTCCTAACAGGTGTGGTGGCTGGAGGTGGCCGCATTGACAAGCCCATCCTGAAGGCCGGCCGTGCCTACCACAAGTATAAGGCAAAGAGGAATTGCTGGCCACGTGTGCGGGGTGTGGCCATGAATGTAAGTAGCCCAGAAATGGGCAGCTGGGTATCCCAGATACAGGGATCGTGAGACTGGATGGGCAGGCCCCTTCCCAGACAGTCTCCTCTGGTGGGGTCTCTGGTGTGAGCCTCTGAGTGATGGTTCCTAGGCGCAGTCTTGTTGATCCTGCCCTTCCTCGGCCCTCCTGGGGTAGGTTGGGGCCACCACCATATTAATGCCACCTTCCTCTGCCTGCAGCCTGTGGAACATCCGTTTGGAGGTGGCAACCACCAGCATATCGGCAAACCCTCCACCATACGCAGAGATGCCCCTGCTGGACGCAAAGTGGGTCTCATTGCTGCCCGCCGGACTGGGCGTCTACGCGGAACCAAGACTGTGCAGGAGAAAGAGAACTAGGGCTTGGGGGCTCAATAAAGTTTGTCCTTCTGCCACAAAGCAGTTTCTGCCCGTTGTTTCAGAGGGAAGGGTCCTGCTGGGAGGGCCACTGCTCTGCAGCGGTGAGGGTGCTAGTTCCCATCACACCTTGGTTCCTGGAACCCTACCAGCACCCAGCACATGGAGTAGAAAAGCCCACACCTGTGTTTGAGAGAGTCTAGGTGAGGGTGTGGATGCTCTTGGGTAGGTGGTGTTCTGAATCCACAGGTTGGACAGCAGAGGGACTGTCCTGTGATGAGAGGACCTGGAGTTTCTCCAAACAAATGGGCTTTGTGTTTGGCCACAGCTGACAACACCTTGTCCAAACTTTGTCCTAGTTCTGTCAGAGATAACAACCATTTGGGTAGGCGCTCACTGCGCAGATCTTGGGGGGAAGGCACTGGCCAGGAGACTCCACGATGACCACTTACCTGCATGAGATGACCACAATGAGTCCTGTGTGAGAACTGGTCACGTGGTTCTGAGGCTGTATTGCAAGGGCCTCTCCTGGATGATCAGGCCTTGCTCTCATGGTCTAACCTCAGACCCAGTTCTCAGCCAGCCTTCCCCTGCCCCAACGGCCCTGGGCAGTGAACCCAGCAGGGATAGGCTCCGTCACTGGCAGAGAAGGCAGGAGGGTAACGTTTCCTGAAGAAAAGCACAGATCTTGTAGATTGGGGCATTACGTGGCCAGGAGACAGGCCATCATGGGGGGTTTGCTGCAGAACATTTGGGTGTTGAAGGAAGCCCTTCATCTGTGAGTGGACACAGGTTAGCTGGCTTAACCAGGAGAGCCTCCCCTGCACTTCTTGGGTATCCCGTGACCCTGGTGAACGGCCTGCTTTGCTTCCCCTCGTTAGAGGAAGGCCTGGTCTGGTCTTGGTTGCAATGCCTTTAGCGGCTCTCCAGAGGGGGTGTCATTGGAAATTACTGGTATCTGTTAGTCTTTGAAATCGGTCGCCAAAGCCTCACTCTTGCCCCGATTCTGAACCCCGAGGCTCCAGGCTGCCTCCCCCAACCCCCGTAGCAGCGTTCCCAATTTGTTGGGCTGTTTCCCGTTCCTGGAGGACTCCCGCTACCGAGATAGAAGCAGCTTCCCCGGAGCGGTCCGGAAGCAAGGGGGAGGGTCTTACATCACTTCCGGCTGGTTTCCATTGGCGGAGCCGGTGCGGGCGGTCCCTGGACGGGTGGTGGCTCCTCTGCCTGCTGAGGTAGGTGTGGGGCCGACTGGGCGGGCTGCGGCGGGGCGGGGACGGTGGCTGGCCGCCCGGGGGCGAACCTCCGGCGGCTGCACCTCCCCTCCTCGGCTCCCGAAAAGCCGCAAACCCTGACCAACCTCCGTCGCGGCCCGGCGGCCCCCTACCTGACTCCCCAGATCGCCTTCCTGGGCCCTCGTCGTCCCTGCCCCCGCCCAAGGTAACCAGCCCCCAGGGTAGCCGACCGTTCCCTCCCGAAAAATTCCTCCTCCTCCAGGGTACACACCAGGTCCTCCCGGTTCCCGGTCCTCGCATGTACTTCCTCACTTAGTCTCCAGCTCCGCGCACTTAATGCGAACACACTGCCCGCCCACCACAGTGCCCCGCGCGCCCCCGTTGCCCCCCGTGAGCCTCCAGGGCCGCCCGCAGGCAGTTCCCAAGACACTGCTCTGCGCCCCCTTCCCTCCCTGGTTGGTCCCAGGCCGGTCTCTCTCAGCCACATTTTTGTTTCTTTTCCTCCTCTAGTTTGCTTCATGGTTTTGTGCGTTTAATATATGCATTACACATTTTAATGTGAAATGCACATTTTAATTTTTTTCACAAAAACTGTAAAGTAAATGGAAATATGGAATGCTTTAGCAAACACCCACGACTAGGGTTGCCAGTTAACTTTTTACCACGTTAGGTCAAGCCCCCTCTTCTTCTTCTTCTTTCTTTTTTAAGATTTTATTTATTTTTAGAGGAAGGGGAAGGGAGGGAGGAAGAGGGAGAGAAACATCAACGTGTGGTCGCCTCTCGCGCGCCCCCTACTGGGGACCTGACCTATAACCCAGGCATGTGTCCTGACTGGGAGTCGAACCAGCAACCCTTGGGTTTGCTGGCCAGCACTCAGTCCGCTGAGCCCGGGCCCCACCCTCCCTTTTTAATTTAGCAAAAACTATTAAAGTGAAATTACTCGGAGACCCGGGGTCCTGGTGCACAGCTCCCTTGGGCAGCTCCAGCTTTGAATGATAGCCTTTCTACCTTTCTGAGGTGTGATTGAGAAACAGGAATTGTCCATGTGAAGGCACACAGTTTCATGTCCTTATGTGTATGTACCCTGTGAAATAATCACATCCAACACACGGGTACCATTTTCTTTGTGGTGAGGACACTTAATAGTCACCTCGTCACAAGTTTCAAAGGACAACGTGTAGTGCTGTTGTCACCGCACTGTAGCTAGGTGTCCACAGATCACCTCACACGAGCGAAAGTTCGACCAGCAAACATCTCCCCATTTTCTCTCAACCCCAAAACCTTGGCAACCACTATTCTCTCTGCTTCTTGGATACAACTTTATTTTGTTTTTTTAAAAAGACTTTATTTCCCTGGCTGGAGTAGCTCAGTGGATTGAGCGCGGGCTGCGAACCAAAGTGTCGCAGGTTCGATTCCCAGTCAGGGCATATACCTGGGTTGCAGTCCACGGCCCCCAGCAACCGCACATTGATGTTTCTCTCTATCTCTTTCTCCCTCCCTTCCCTCTCTAAAAAAATAAATAAAATAAATCTAAAAAAATAAACTAAATTAAAAAAAAAGACTTTATTTATTTTTAGAGGGAGGAGAAGGGAGGGAGAAAGAGCGGGAGAGAGACATGGTTGGTTGTCTCTTGCACCCTCCCACCCAGGGACCTGGCCTGCAACTCAGGCATGTGCTCTGACTGGGAATCGAACCTGCAGTCTTTCGGTGTGTGGGATGACGCTCAACCCGCTAAGCCACACCAGTCAGTGTGGATTTGGACAATTTTAGACTCCACTTATAGGTAGGATCATGCAGTATTTGTCCTTATGGGTCCAGCTTACCTCATTTAGCACAATGCCCTCCAGGCCCATCCATGTTGTTGCAAATGGCAAGGTTTCCTTTTTTATGGCTGAGTAATATTCCATCATGTGTATATATAGGCCAATTTATCCAGTCATCCATTGATGGACACTTAAGCTACTCCCATGTCTTGGCCCCTGTGGATAATGCTGCAGTGAGCATGGGGTGCAAATATCTCTTCAAGCTTCAGGTTTCATTTCCTTCAGATATACACCTGGAGGTGGAATTGCTGGGTCATCAGACAGTTTTATTTTTTTGAGGAATTTCCATACTGTTTTCCACAGTGGCTGCACCAGTCTGCATTCCTGCCAATAGTGCATGAGGGTTCCCTTTTCTCCACATTCTCATGTTGTTTGTGGGTTTATTGATGACAGTCTGACAGGTGTGAAGTGATAGCTCACTGTGCTTTAGATTTGCAATTTTCTGATGATTAGTGATGTCAAGCATCTTTTCATGTGCCTGTTGGTTATTTGCATGTCTTTTTGGAAGAATAGTCTATTCAGGTATTTTGCCTATTTTTAAATTGGGTTATTTGTTTTTTTGCTATTCAGCTGTGTGAGTTCCTAATACATTTTGGAGATTCACCCCTTTATCAGGTAGATGGTTTGCAGCTGGTTTCTCCTGTCCCCTAGGTGCCTTCTCACTCAGTTGATGGTAGTTTTGCTGTTGGCACATTTTCTTAAACCTCTACACATCTAGTGATGTTTTTGTATTTTAAAATCTACATATGCCCTGGCTGGTGTGGCTCGTACATTGAGTGCCGGTCTGTGAACTAAAAGCTCAGCAGTTTGATTCCTGGTCAGGCCACAGGCCTGGGTTGTAGGCTGTGTCCCCAGTAAGGGGCATGTGAGAGGCTACTGTGTATTGATGGTTCTCTCCCTTTCTTCCTCCCTTCCCCTCTCTCTACAAATACATAAATAAAATCTTTTTAAAAATCTACATACATGACATACTATTGATACTCTGTGTTTAACACTCTTACTAACCCTTACAGCTCTGCTCCATCTTCGTGATGATGTAGCTCGTCCCTTTCAACCTGCCTGCTCCCTGATAATAGATATTGAAGTTGTTTACTTTTTCCCTTGCAGACAGGCATGTGGTGGGATTCTTGCATGTCACCTTGTGTTATTAGGGCACATGCCTAGAATTAGGTTTCCTGATGGATTTGCAGGCTTGGAGCTCCCCTAGGTAGTGTCAGATGGGTTTGCAGAGTGGTGGCATGGTCTGTACTCCAGGTACAGGACTCAGAGTTCCCGTGTTTCTGCACATCTGCAGCATGTGATATTGTGAAGTCTTTGTACGGTGTGGGGCAAAAGTAGGGTTGCAGCTTTAGTACATGAATTTAGAACAAGCTTATTCTTGTATTAATGCTTATTCATTATTACATTGTTTTCCATATGAACAATTGTAGGTATACCTACTTTTGCTCAACCACTGTTATTTCCCCGATCAATGGAGAGAGAAGTCTGGTTTTAATTTGCATTTCCCTCATTTTTACTGACATTGAAAATCTTTTCAGGTGTTTATGGACAGTTTATTTCTTTATTTGCAATTTAGTAGGTCCTGTCCTGTGTTCACTTTTTAAGTTGAATAGGGTTTTTTGGTTCTTTGAATATATTTTCTGTATGTATCTTTGTTATGTATGTTTGTGAACATTCTTTCACTTGACAGTTTTTTAAATTTTTGTCATGTCTCCTACCAAAGTTTTTTTTTAAGATTTTACTTATTTATTTTTAGAGAGAGGGGATGGGAGGGTGAAAGAGAGAGAGAAACACCGATGGGCTGCCTTGCAACTGGAGACTTGGCTCACAACCCAGGCATGTGCCCCAACCGGTGACCCTTTGTTTCATAGGTTGGCGTTCACTGAGCCACACCAGGCAGGGCTGAAGTTTTTATGATGAAGTAAAACTGAACATTTCTCTTGATGTGTTTTTTATATATTATTATAATAGCTATAAACATTTTTTTTAAAAACTTAGGTCTTCAACCTACCTGAAATGTTCTTTTGGTTTTTTTTTTGCATGCTGTGGAAGGCAGGGCGGTAACCTGGTTTTCCTATGGACACTGGTTGTGCCAGCGCCACGTATGGAATGCTGCCTGGCTGCTCATGTGGCAGGTGTGCCGTCAGTGCGCATTCTGTCGTGCTCCCACAGCCTGCGGGAGGTCCCGGTACCTGGAGGGTGTGCCTCTGGCTGCCTTACTGCTTTCTTTGGCATTGCCATGGTTAATCTTGGATCATACTCTTACGATAGTTGGAGTCATTTTGCTTAGGTTTCATGATATGTCCTGTTGTAATTTTTTACAAAACGTTCTTTTTATCTATTTTTAGAGAGAGAGGGAGGGAAGGAGAAAGAGAAACATCTTGATCAGTTGTCCCTCACACTGCCCCAACTAGAGAACTGGCCCACTACCCAGGCATGTGCCCTGACTGGGAATCAAACTGGAGACCTTTTGGTTCCAAGGCTGGTGCTCAGTCCACTGAGCCACACCAACCCGGCCTGTCCTGATGTAGTTTTGATTGCACAGAATTAATGGATTCATTCAGGGAGAGTTGACATTTTTATGGTATTGAGTCTTGTTTATGAACATTGTCTGTTTCTCCACAGGTCTTTTTAATGTCCTTTAATAAACTTTCATCATTTTGTCCATTAAGGGCTTACAGATTTTTCATTAGCCTTCTCAGATGCCGTATATGTAAGTGTTTGTGGCTGTTTTGTGAATGCTGGCTTTTGCTTGCTGATTGCAAGTATATCAGAGTAGTGTTGATTACTCTGTACTGACCTGTCTGTGGCAGTCCTGTCAAACTCTTATCATCCCAACAAGGGGCTGGTGCTCTTGGATTTTCTCTGTGGATGATCTCAAATAACGGTGATTTTATCTATTCTCTTCCAGTCCTCATGGCTTGTGTTTCTTTTTCCACTGTATGGAAACAGACTCGAATGCTGGGAACCCAAGGTCTCGGGCCACGCTGGGAACCACTGCTGGGTGTGGTATGTACTTAGTCCCCTCTTCTGTTTTCCACAGCATTTCCTTTTCTTCCTCCTCTCCGCGGCCCCTGCAGGCCCCCACATTGGACGTACCAGATGTTTGTGTTTTATTTTTAAGGAACCGATGCTGGGATGATTTTCTTGTTGAGATTATATTTTCATTCCTTTCATCTTCTTTCCTTGAACTGCTTTCTTATTCTGTGGCTAATTTCTTGTTGAGTGTTTAGATCATTTATTTCTGTTTCTCTTGTGGTCAAATTTGTGCATTAATGATGCATGTTACTATGAAAGAATTCTCAAAGAGAAGAAAGTATAGAGAGTTTTATTTTATTTTCCCCAGAGAGGGAAAGGGCTAGGTGCGGAGATATGCACCAGCCCTGAGGAGCAGGGCTTTGGGCTTTTGTCAGGTAACGGGGTGGTTGTGGAACAGAATGCTTCAGTTGCGCTGCAGCTTGTTTTGATGTTACCTTTGGGTGCACGGTTTGGTCCAGTTGTCGTGGTCTGCCATGTCTTGTTTTGTAAGTTCCCAGGGCCTTTGCACCTTCAGGGTGCTTCCAGTAATTTTCTAGTCCTGAGGGTAAAGGCTCATAAAACAATTAGGGTGCCTTAGCTTGTGTGGCTCAGTGGACTGAGCTCTGGCCTGCAAACCAAAGGGTCACTGTTTTGATTCCCAGTTGGGGCACAGGCCTGGGTTGCAGGCCAGGTCCCCAGTAGGGGGCGTGCAAGAGGCAACCACACATTGATGTTTCTCTCCCTCTTTCTCCCTTCCTCTCTCTACAAATTAATAAATAAAATCTTTAAAAAAAATTAGGGTCAGTGATACTTTATGGGGTTCAGACAGCTCTGGGAAAGAGGGCATTAGAAAGTGGCTTTTGTTCTATTAATGTCCATTTTTCCTTAGGGAGCTTTTGTTGCTATTTCTACCCTATATTCCATTTTTGTTTTTCTCGAAGCGGGGTACTTTTAAAACCATGTATTTGTAGTATAACAACAGTATGGTCAGAGAATGTTTTGGCAAAGGATGCAGCCATTGGAATTTGTTGACTTTTTTTTTTTTGGCCTGGTATGTGGTGTTTTTAAAAAAATATTCAATATACATCTTGAAAAAATGTGTGTTCTCTATGCTTTAGGTAACAATGTCTGTTGATCTACAGGTTTCTCAGGGAAGCGTGATAAAATCTGTCATCCCAGGGAGGGCTGCCACCAACTCTTTGCTTAGTCAGTTAGCTCTGGCTGTCTGCATTTTGAAAGTCTGTTGATAGATACACATGTTTGTAATGACAGCTTTTGGGTGGGTTTTATCTTTTTTTAATACACAAGGTTTGTTTTTGTTGCTATAATGGTTTTTGCTTTCAGTTCTGTTTTGGTTGGTGTGAACATCACTAAACCATACGCAGCAATGCACAGTAAGCTCAGCAGCACCACGCCGAGGCGGGAGCCAGCACAGAGGAGTGCAGCTGCGCAGTCCCTGGGTGAGCGGGGCAGAGGCACGGTGGTGCTGCTGGAGTCTGGGTGCCCCCCTGGGCGGGCGGCGAGGTCTGCGTGCCACTCTGGCACCGAGCTGCTTTACTTTCCCTGGGGCTTGTCCGCTGTGTCTTATACTCATCCTGACTGTGCTGCTTCATTTTAGGTTATATAGGTACATTTCATGTGTCTAATTGAAAGGTCTTGTGCTTCTCTTGAGCGAGTTTAATTCTTTTATTTCTCATCATCTCTCATTCATGGGACTTGTTTCTACTAATTTCTTACTTTTACCTTCTATACTTTGTCTTCACTATGTGCCTTCTGTTGATTTCTGTAAAAGATTTTATTTATTTATTTTTAGAGAGAGGGGAAGGGAGGGAAAAAGAGAGGGAGAGAAACATCAATGTGTCAGAGAAACATTGATTGGTTGCCCCTCTCATGCCTCCCAACTGGGGACCTGGTCTGCAATCCAGGCAGGTGCCCTGACCCAGAAATTGAACTGGTGACCTTTAGGTTGACCTGATCATGTCCATCCAACTCACTAAGCTACACTGGTCAGGGCTATTGATTTTTTTTTTTTACATCTTTCTCCTCCTGAACCTTTAATGTCTTTATCTTTTCATCTAAAGGGAATGAGAATCTCTGTCCTCCTCCTGAGTGAGACAACTTAGTGTGCCAGGGAGGAGGAGGGGCAAGTTACCTGGGCAGCCCTGTGTTCATCTGGTGGGGGTGGGGAGTTTGCTGGGAGGCCAGCTTTGTCATCGGGATGAGCGAGCCCTGAAGCCACATGCAGGAGGAACCAGACTGGGCCTCCATGTGTTCTTCTGTCTTCCCTCAGCACCTGAGTGATTGGCTCATGCATACCTCCCCTGGGAGGCCCAGGGAATCACGTGATGGCAGCTCTGCACCTGTCTTCTGCTTCCCAGGTGAGCCTTATCCTCCCCGGGTGATGTGAGGTCTCCACCCAGGGCTTCTCCTTCCTGCTCTACCTCAGCAGGTGCTGTCAGACATCTCTGGTCTGGGTGCTGAGCAGTGGAGTGGTGACCTTAGGATTCACCCAGCCACCCTGAGTTGGCTGGCTCAGCAGCCAAATGGTCAGACCACCCGCCAGGCAGTGCTGGGGGATCAGGCCTGCAGACACCCTGTGCTGTGCACTGAGCATGCCTCTGCTGCCCCTGCCCCCGGGGCGCTGTCTGAACCTCACCTAGTCCTGCAGCAGCTCCTGTCGTTCCAGGCCAAGGTGACTTTCGAGGACGTGGCCGTGCTCCTCTCCCCAGAGGAGTGGGGACAGCTGGGCCCTGCTCAGAGGGGCCTCTACAGGGACGTGATGCTGGAGACCTACAGGAATCTGGTCTCCTTGGGTAAGGCCCCTCGCTAGGACGAAGCTCAGGGAACAGCCCTGGGCACTGAGGGCTCACAGGGGGGCTGGGCTGGGGACCTCGTCGCTGGGCCCAGAGACAGGTTTGGTCTGTCTGACCCAGGAGAAGCCCAGTGGGGCTCTGTCAGCCTCTCTGCCCTCTGAACTCCTGGATAGACTCTCCCTGCCCCCAGCCCAAGGCAGATCGTCTCCCAGGGCAAGCTGGGAGCTGCGCGGTACTGGCGGGGCAGGCCCCTTGCCCTGCTGTCCCCTGTGCTCAGGTCTTCATCTCCACAACTACCCTAGTCCCCCAGGGTGTTCTGACTCCCCATCACTCCTGCATCTGCCCTTCCCCTCCCCCTGCCGGCCCCCAGCCCCATGTCCTTGGCACCAACCCCATGCCCCATCTGCTTCCCAGGAGCTGGACCTGCAGGTCCCAAGCCTGGGGTGATCACACAGTTGGAGCAAGGGGATGAACCGTGGGTCCTGGACACACAGGGTCCCGAGGGGAGAGAGCGGCTGGGAGTCCATGGCTCAGGTGCGCGAGGGGCTGGTTCCCTCACTAGTCACGGCACAAGCATTTGTGGGGTCCCGGGTATGCGGCTGATGACTGAGGAGCCTGGGGGAGGGTGCCTCTGGGCCAGCACAGCCGCTGTGGGAGTGGCCTCCGATGAAGCCTCCGTCCATCTGAGTGCCTCGGTGGGAAGACCCTGGAACTGAATCTTGTGGGCAGTGAGAGGGGCAGCGCCACTGAAGAGGGAAGGGCATCAGGGTGTACTGTGAGGGAGGGCCGGGCCCACGGGATCCTGGGGAGCCCCGCCCCCAAGAGCGCAGCACTAGGAGTGAGTGGGGTCAGATGGGCCTTGTCGCTTCCCTGTTTCCCCGTTCCCAGACCATTCGTTTCAGGGAAGTGAGAGAAGACACGTCACGTCACCCCATGTGCTGTAGTCCACACCTGCTGTCTCTGTTCTAGCCCTGTGTGGGCCACGCTGGTCACTCAGTGCGTGTCCATTTCTGGGCCTAGGGGGCTCAGTCGCTGCTGTTGCTGGAAGGCCAGCAGGAAGGGTGTTCCCTGGTTTCACTGAAGTGGACTGTGCTGCCTCTGTGCTGCCTGTCTTGATAATGTCCTAGGAAGAAACCCCAGGTTCAAAGGACTTGAATTTCTCTTTCGTAAATTTATGCATTTGAGTTTAAATACAGAAATGGGACAGACCCTGAGTTTATAGAGCTCAGTAAATTAAAAAAAAAAAAAAAGTCCTGTAGGTCAACATACAGCATGTTTCTGATTGCCCGGGAGCCCGTGGGGCCTCCTCCCTCATTTCCTGCTGTGCCCTGAGGTCCCTTCCCTCTGTGGCCTGGGCTCTGTCTGCTGGATGCGTGTGGGCCTCAGAGCTTTAGGAGGATGTCTGTGTTGTGTGGAGTTTGTTCTGCACTGTTGCGGTAGTGTTCTGTTGTGAATGTACAAGTTATTTTCTGCCACATTGTTGAGGTCATTGAATTATCCCCATTTTGGGGTTGTTGTGTCTCTTGGCTCACTGACAACATGTTTTTGGTGGGTGTGTTCCTGCCTAAGGAATAGTGTCTAGTGGAGGGCAGGAGGGGCAGCCTGCTTGAGGGCATCAGGAAGCATTCTGGTTGGCATCTTGAGTTTAAGGTACTGGGGCTCACTGGTGGCTTCTCATGCCCCAGGAAAGAGCTCTGGAGTGGGAGAGGCCTGCAGAGAGAGCCAGGGAACCCGGCCTCGGGGGGCATTGCCTTCCTTCACGGCTGACACAGGCTTGGCCCTCTGCTCCCCTTGGGAGACAGCTGGCTTTCCTAGCATGGACTTGGGGTATTTTTAGGTGACCTCAGACTTGCTTGGCATGAATTTCTTTTTCTTTCAGGTGCCCTCCATGACTTTGGGCCTCTCCGTTCTCTGTATGAGGACAGGCATCCCACTGTCCCACTCTGGCAGGTCTTGGAGGCAGAAGGCAGGCAGGAAGGGAATGGGTGCTGATCAGATCTGGGTTAAATGCTTGCACTGCCACATGACTGTGGCCCTGGGTGAGATTTTAAGCCTCCAAGTTCCAGGCTCTTACCTCTAGAAGGTGTGACTTTGGAGACAGTGGAATTTGTACTGCACAGGTGGTCAGCAGCATCTTCGTATCTTCCTTCCAGAGTGAGAACAGGTGACCCTGAGATGTTCTGTTTGTTTTCTCAGCTTATGAGATCAGCACTGAGTGCAGGGAGTTGACTTCAGGGGAGATGCTTGATGGGGCAGAACCGGACCAGCTCGGGGGAACTGTTCCCCAGGGAACTGAGCCAGAAGAAGCCCGCACACCGGTTGGGAAGGCGGAGGAGAGCCCAGACAAGCCCATGGAGCAGGGAGGCCCTAGGCCAGTCACACTGACCAACAGGGAAAGCAGCCAGGAGCGTGGGGGAAGCCTCCAGCTGGGGTCAAGCTCTGTCCCTGATCAGAGACCTCACAAATGCGATATATGTGAGCAAAGTTTTGAACAGAGATCATATCTAAATAACCATAAGCGTGTACACAGGTCAAAACGAACAAAAACGGTTCTTAATTCTGGGGAAATCTTCAGTGCTAATGCTGTTGTTAAAGAAGATCAGAAAATTCCTGCTGGCAAAACACTCCATTACTGTGGTTACTGCAGGAAAGCCTTTAGGTACAGTGCTAACCTCGTCAAGCACCAGCGGCTCCACAGTGAAGAGAAGCCCTACAAGTGTGACGACTGTGGGAAAGCCTTCGGCCAGAGCTGTGAGTTCATCAATCACCGAAGGATGCACTCGGGGGAGATCCCCTACCGGTGCGGTGAGTGCGGAAAGACATTCAACCGGAGGCCCAACCTAATGAAGCATCAGAGGATCCACACTGGGGAGAAGCCCTACAAGTGCAGCGAGTGTGGGAAACACTTCAGTGCCTACTCTTCCCTTATTTATCACCAGCGAATACACACTGGAGAGAAACCCTATAAGTGCAGCGACTGTGGGAAAGCCTTCAGTGACAGCTCAGTCCTTATCCGCCATCGTCGGACCCACACTGGAGAGAAGCCATTTGAATGTAAGGAGTGTGGCAAAGGCTTTACCCAGAGTTCTAACCTTATCCAACACCAGAGAATCCACACTGGAGAGAAACCCTATAAATGTAATGAATGTGAGAAAGCCTTCATCCAAAAAACCAAACTTGTTGAACATCAGAGAAGCCACACTGGAGAGAAGCCCTATGAATGTAATGACTGTGGCAAAGTCTTCAGTCAGAGCACACACCTCATCCAGCATCAGAGGATCCACACAGGGGAGAAGCCCTACCGGTGTGGCGAGTGTGGGAAGGCCTTCCACAACAGCTCCAGACTCATCCACCACCAGAGGTCACACCACGGAGAGAAGCCGTACAAGTGCAGTGATTGCAAGAAGGCCTTCAGCCAGGGTGCTTACCTCACCCAGCACCAGCGGATCCACACCGGGGAGAAGCCGTACAAGTGCAGCGAGTGTGGCAAGGCCTTCCGGCACAGTTCCAATGTGTTCCAGCATCAGAGGATCCACCTCCGGGAGGACCTCTCCACCTGACGCTGGAGGCCCGGGAGTTCTGCCAGGCCCTTCCCACAGCCCTGTTATTTATTGGCGTCGCAAGGTTGCCACAGGTGACGGACATTTCTGTCTGATTTTTACGGACCTTTTAAACCAAGGCAGTGCATGCTCATTTTAGGGAATCTGAGGAAGGCAAGCAAAAGGGAGCCACTCCTGTAATTTCTCCCTTTTAGAAACAGAAAATTCATCACCGCCGACTTCGAGTGCTTCCTTTGAGGAGGGCTTTGAGAGGGATGCAGATGTTTTAAAGAAAATACTGGTAGGCTTGTTACTGCAGCATCCAGGACCATTCCCTCTGCTCTTTCCTCAGTGCCAGAGAATTCACACTGCACAGAATTCCACATATTTACATATTGCAAACTTTTTAAAAAATTAACATCATTCATACTTTTCTGTGTACTTAATAGATGATTGTCTTTTTCACTGTGCTAAAATATACATAACATAAAGTTTACCATTTTAACCATTTAAAGTGTACAGTTCAGTGGTATTAAATACATGTACAATGTTGTGTAATCATCACCACTATCTGTTTCCAGAACTGTTTTATTATCCCAGACAGAAGCTCTGTGTCCATGAAACAGCAACTCTGTCCTCCCCTCATCCGTGCTGCTGGCAACGTCCATTCTATTTTCCATCTCTGAATCGACCTGTTCTAGGTACCCATACAAGTGAACTCACAATATTTGCGATTTATGTCTGGCTTATTTCACTCAGCATAATAAATGTCCTCAAGGTTCATTCATGTTGTATCCTGTATCAGAATGTTATTCTTTCTTTTAGATTTTATTTATTAGAGGGGAAGGGAAAGAGAAAGTGAGGGAGAGAAACATTGATCAGTTGCCTCTTACATGCCCCCAGCTGGGGACCGGGCCCACAACCCAGGCATGTGCCCTGACCAGGAATCGAACTGGCAACTTTTTGGTTTGCAAGCTAGTGCTCAATCCATGGAGCCACACCAGCCAGAGCCAGAATGTTATTCTTTTTTTATGGCTGAATAATATACCATTGTTTGTGGCCACTACATTTTGTTTTCCATTTACATGTTGATAGACACTTGGGTGTTTCTGCCTTTTGACTGTTGTGCATAATGCTGCTGTGAACACTGTTGTATGGGTATAACACTTCCACAGTAGCTACTTCAGATGGTTTCTGCTGCTCGGTGGTACTTTAGGTGGAGGGACAGGTTCCTGGGCTTCCTATTCTGCCATCTTCTGTGACTCTCTGGTAATTGCTTTAATTGACTAATTTTCTGGAATATTTATTGCGCGACTAATCACTGGAGTCCTTAAGATGAACTAGATGCTGCGACAGCTGCCCTCTTGGGTTTAGGTGTTGTTCCTTCACAGAATCCATGGCTGAATCTATGGGGTATGATTTTCAGGTGCCTCATGGGACCAGTCCCAGTGACATTTTGTCATTTAGACCTGGCCCTCCAGTTATACTACTTCTGCTTGGCGAGGCAGCTCCACTCGCCACAAATGGACTTCTGAAGGTGGCAGGCCTTCAAACCACTGCAGCATCTATAACAATTGACATAAGTTATAAAATATCATTTGGACATATTCCACAGTGACTAGTTTCAGGCCTTTAACTTAATTTTTTTAAAAAAAAATTTTTACTCATTTTTAGAGGGGAAGAGGAGGAGAGAGGGAGAGAAATATCAATGTGTGGTTGCTTTTCACTCGCCCCTTACTGGAAACCTGGCCCGCAATGCAGGCACGTGCCCTGAGAGGAATCAAACTGGCAACCCTTTGGTTCACGGCCCATGCTCAATCCACTAAGCTACACCAGCCAGGTCCCTTTAACTTAATTTAAAAAATTGTGTCTTTAGGTCCTAACTGGCATGGCTCAGTGGATTGAGCACTGGCCTGCGAACCAAAAGGTTACCGGTTTGATTCCTCTCAGGGCACATGCCTGGATTATGGGCCAGGTCCCCAGTATGGGGTGCATGAGAAGCTCCCTCCCTTTCCCTCTCTCTAAAAATAAAAATAAGTAAAATCTTAAAAAAATAAAATTATGTCTTTAGGATATATTCCCAGGAACAGGATGAACTTTTTAAAGGACGTCGTATATAATCATGCAAATGTTTTCTAGAGTGTTCATACCCAATATATAATGTCACCAGCACAGCCTTCCAGGATGCACTATTGACTAAGAACGCTCTGATCACACAGCCTCCCTGCACTGCACACTGTAATTTCAACCTCCGCTTGCTAACTGAATTGGCACGACTCTGTGGCTGGTATAGCGTTGGACTGATGACTCGGGTAACCTACCTTTCCTCATGTTAGCTTCAGAGGGAGTCATGCCCGTCACTGCTTTTGGCCCAGATGCTCTTCCATTGGGTTGTTTGTTAAGAACCTCTGTTCTGGGGCCCTTCATCCCTCAGCCTAGATGTTCCCTGACCAAGGGCACCCCAAGTGACTCTGGCTTCCTTGAAGGGAGCGCCTAAGCTCTGGGTGGGAGGACTGCAGAGGGGGCAGGGTGGTGGGGCAGTGCAGTCTGAAGCATATTGAATGGCATAGTGTACCTGGAGAGGAAAATGCTGGTGGTTTGCATTGTGTGAAACTAGAGAACATGTTTTTGACAAGGTTTCTGGGCTGCTTGTTTTGAGTTTCAGAAGGTTTGTAACATGAGTTTCTGATATTTTTACAGGGGCCCGTCTCAGGAGGTGGACGGTACGGGCAAAGGGCACCGTGGGTTCTAGATGTTTCTGCTGGGCCATTGGGCAGTCACTCCTCGGCGACTGGTGGGCTGGTTCCTTGTAGCTGTCCTGTTGCCTCTCAGCACACAGAAGGGCCTTCAGGAGCAATGTCATCTCAGACTGTGGGCTGCTTGTTGATGAATAATTGTGGATGGCTCTGGGCAGCTGGCAATGAGCCAGAACAGCTGGTGGGGTCAGAGAGTCAGATAGTTGAAGCCCTTGGCACATCTCAAGTCAGCATCCCCAGATGAGAGGTAACAGTACCTATCCTGATGGGCAGTGAGGCAGGTGGGGTCATGCTCACAGCATGCATGCTAGGTGCCCATGACCTAGATCTTGTGGCTGACCCTGAGTACATCCCTGGACAGAGACCCAGGCAGGACATCAGATTTGAGCCAGGTCACTGGAGCTGGAGCTGGGTCCTCCCACCCCTGTCCTCACGGCTGGGACAGTCCAAGTGTGCTCACTAGGCTGGCTTTGAGTCCCCCCTGGAGATGGGTGTGTGGCCTCCACACCCCAACCCAGCCTGTCCCATTTTCCTGCATGCTTCCTGTAGCTGAGGGCTGAACCTCTCCAAGATCCATTGGGGATTGTGGGATGTTTGGACAACCCCCTCACAGGGGTGGGCGCTCCCTGGCTGCTGCACCTGTGCAGAGTCCCACAGAAACTGAGTGCTGGGCTGGTCTTCCTGCAGTGATTTCATTTTCATAGTGACTCTGTGACATGGATGAGAACCTGAGGCTCAGGAAGGGAAGTGACTGGACTGAGGTCACAGAGCCGTTGGGGGCAGGCCTAGGCTCCAGCCCACTCTTTACCAGTTGAAGGTAAACGAGAGGACTAACCTGACCCCAGAAGAGGGCTGGCTTTTGCCTGATAAATGTTTATCTGCTAACAGTGTGATTTTATGGTGGGGGCATCAGTTTGACCCCTGTTGGGCTGGCGTCCGAGATCAGTCATGCAGACAGTCAGCTATGTGGTCATCACCAAGCCAATCAAAACCCTGGATGCCAAGAACCAGGTAAGCTTCGCTGGTTTGGCAATACCCATGCACACTGTCACACATCAGTGCCAGGGAAGAAAGGGACTGTAACTTCCCACGGAAAGGACCACAGAATCTCTGCATTTGGTACTTGTCCTGGATTCTGCCCCATGTGATGATCTCTTGGCTGATTGATTTTAGTGTCTGTTCCCTGTAATACATGGTCATCATGTATCAGCTTTCAGGGTGAGTTCTGAGTCAATGCAGCAAATTATTGCACTTGAGGGTGATATTGCTGACCTGAGAACTTGTGATGGTGTTAGAAGTGAAGGCAAGTCTTGGGGACCTCTGAAGTTCACACATCTGTATTTCTCAGCTTAGGAACTTTTATGCACGAAACCAAGTGTTTCCCAAAGTCACTCAGGTGGGCTGTAAGAGACCCCCAGTACCACCCCTGTGACCTTCCTCTGCCCTAGGTCAAGTCTACACTTGGGAAAGATCCTCCTGGGCCTCCATCACCAGACCCCCTGCATGGAATGTCCTGTGGTGGCCTTGCTTCCCCAGCCTGTCCTGCAGGAGTGCCCCTGCTTCTCTCAGGCTGCCTGGCACCTGTACAGCCATCTTCCTCCAGAGATGGGCCGTGCATTGTGCCCCACACTAGGTAAGTTGGATTGTATTAGTGACAGCAGCAGCCAGCAATCAAAGCACCCCCTCCCCATGCCTTCATAGCTCTGTGTGCTACAGAATACCCATTCCTAATTGCTTCTGTTTGGAGTTGGCACACAAGGCTTTTTCAGACTTTCCTGGTTGTATTTTCCTTTATTGTAGGAGACACTTATGCCAAAGTTACTGTTTTTCCTTCACCCACAAGTGTGTTTCACTCATTACTGTTTTTTTGTAAGGTACATCAGGTTATACAGTTACACAGAAAAAAAATTTCAGGTGTACTAAAATGTTATCCAAATAAGAAAAAATTAGAAAAGAACTGTCAAACTCTTGCTAGTTTTAAGGAGAAACACTATGAAGATATTTAAATACCTAAAAAGTGAAGAGTTCAAAATAAAAGTACTGAATGTTGCTGACAAGTCAGAGCTGGGAAGTAATGGCCAAGAAGGCAGTTATCAGGGTGTGGGGATCCCAAAGGTCATTTTGGCCTCTGATGCCCACTTCCAACAGTGACCACCATATGGATCAGCAGGTAGTGTGCTACCTCCTGCTCCTGGGGCAGAACTGCACAGTCTGCAAGCCTCCCCAGGGACAGGGCACCATGTGCTCACCACCCAGCTCCATGAACACCGATCCAGATACTCACCAAGGGGTCCACAGCAGCTGGTGCAAGAAAAGGCAGAACAGTATTCTCTACACTGAACAGCATGATTTGATGTTAACTCTTATTCTCATTCTGCTGGGAACATGACTAGTTCTAATTCTCCCATGGGATTAGGATTTGTGCCCAGAATAGTGGTGGGCTGTGGGTGGCATGAGTGAGGGCCACAGCTGCCCTCTGTGGGATGGGTGACTCCTCTGCAGAGGGGACTTGAGCTTTTGTCTGCATCACAGCACACTGCTGTGGGCCTAAGGGTCAACCCCTAGTGCTTAACTTCCTGAGAGGTGGATAATGTTTTAGGTAAAAGTTTAAAAAATTAAGAAACCAGGTAGTTATAAGGTACATCAGGTTAATAAACCAAAAATTAATAAACCATTGTCATTGCTATCATCCATTATAGCATATGACAATGGATAATACACTCTTGGAACCAGGAATTTAAAAAAAAAATGAAAACAAAATCCCTCAAATTTAGAAATAAAAATATTTGATAGGAGAAAAGAGCTATTTGAATTTGAGAACTTTGTTTTGGAAACAGACACCAAGTCTTTTTTGTAATTTCTTTTGGAAACACCTGTGTGTTGAGGCACCCACTGGGTGTTGCAGCCATGACACCTGGGACTGAGTGGAGCTCCCTGCCTACACCCAAATGGGGCCCAGATGCCCAAGACATCCCATGATTTTGGGGGCACAGAGTCTGTTGGTCACAAGGG